TTCCCTTTAAAGCAAGGTTGTCCATTTTTATGACACTTGTGATATTGTCTTTCTGCCCTGAAAGTAGTAAATTACATGGCTTTGTTATAATTAATGAAATACATTATCATATAAAGTATGTATGGAAAAAATCATCAATAAATGAATATTATACAAACATCATTGACAGCATCTGAGCTGAAAAACACACACCTTACTGGCTGTATTCGGACTGATTGCTTACTCTTTCAATGCGTCACAATCCAGTACTATGACTTTCTGGTACCCTCGCATGGCCTTGAGCAATGCGCATCTGGTCGACGAGTTGTTATTTTCAACGTGGAGCAGGGAGTCACATGAATAGAAGCTACACCCATACACCTTTCCATGCTCAGAGAGTTGGGAGAGAAGGATTTCCTCTATAGCCTAGACCTTGAGAGACAAGCAACTCCAAAGTCGAATTGACCCTCCAAGCCCCTCATGTTGAATGTCCAGTGCCACAACTAAATCGCATGACACAGGGATAGAGAATTTAAAACAAGCTTGCAGATGCATTCATTTCATTAAGAACATCTTGCGTCTCTCTGTCAATAGCATTAAATTCGCAGGAATTTCATTTTACCAAGATTTTTTTCGTGCAGGACATGAAAAAACATTTCTTTTTCGCATTGGATGGGTTCCGTTTTATGCTGTGTAAAATACCATTTAACTTGAAGGACTGGAGAAATTTTTTCGGTTAAGGCAGATTTCTAGCTTGTACAGATTCCAGTTTAGACAGACTTTACCGTATATACATATTAATATTAATCTTAGTTTAATAAAGAAATAAAAATGGGAAAGATTAATCAATTCAAGTTGAAAATAAGTTTCCTAAGCAACAAACACACAGACGTTGAAGCCCACAAACCTATATTAATCTTTTACGTAAAAATCTTTCCCTTGATAAGATATTTTAAGACAGGAAATTAACTTGCAATATAATATATTATCAACAAAAAGTCTAGAATATTTTAAAAAATCATGTGGAAACGTTGGATAGATTGTTCTAAAAAGGAGCACTAAGGTTAAAATTATTTGATTATTAAAAAATTATTTATAGTATGTTTTGTACAAAGATATGGTTTCAATGCAAATATAGGTTTTTATTTAAGCTTATCGTCATACAGCAATAGATACTGGGACATTTGTAAGGAAAGCAGACAGTTATTATTTTGGCCTGGCCGGGAATCGAATCTGGGATTGCGCTGCAGAAAATAAGCACGTTGACCAACGCGCAACTAACGGCCTTTAAGCTAACTATAACACTCAAATGTAAATATATATTTTGTGGCATGCTCATTAAAAAAGTGAATACTAGCATGTATTGGTTATTATTTGGAGATCCATACTTATTGCATATTTAGATGTTTCTTTGAAAAGAGCTAATATGGCATATATAAATTTTTACCTAGCATGTTAAGTACTTTTTATTACAGTTTTTGCATAAATTCCTTAAAATATAAAATTAAGTATTACAAAAGTTAACATAAGAATAAATGAACGTTATGCATAAATAGCATATTCTTAGAATATGCTGATGAACTGATGTTACTCTTTTTATGGTGCTTTAGGGAGCATGGTTGAAATTCTCAAAAGTCTGGATGAAAAGAAACTATAAACTGACTCATTTTCATAAAATTAAATATGAACTGGTAAAAAGAGAAGATGGAGGTACACTAAACCAAGACTTTACATTAATCAAATTTTGGCAAACTACAAACAATTAAAAAAAAAAGAAAAAAAAGAAAAGTACATTCCCGCTCGTGGAATCTTTAAGGATTGTTGAAGAGATTAAAATGTTTTTAGAATTAGTTTATGGAGATGTGGAATGAGTCGGTTAAAAAAAAGGTGCAGTAATCAATAGAAATGTCGATTTAATATTCCTCCAAGACAAGAAAAAATGTGTTTGTGGTGAACAAACATAAAAAGTAGAACCTGCCCTTCTGTTGGTTCTGTAAGTATGTTCCTATTACATCTTATGATGTAAAAGGTTCAATTACTGCAATCAAAATAATTTTTCGGAGAATTGGATGAATCTATCTGAAGAAAATTAGAATTTCTTTTTTAAAGTTTAGTTACAAAAGTCAATAAAAATAGGAAAAGAGTCAATTACTAAAATTTGACAGTGAATATTTCATTCATTTTTACTCTTAATTGTGTATGAAAATCCTGTCTCTAATTAAACATGAGTAAATAATAATGATGATGATGAATAGAGCCCAGATTTGTATGCAAATGAATATTTATTTTGCTATTGTTAGTTGGAAAGCAATCACATATGTTCATGAATCTGACTGTTTAGATCATTCCTAACAAATTTTATTTAGTATATTTTGCCATATTTTACTGTTACTGCATATTCAGCATTCGCTTTTTGGGGGGGAGAGGGAAATGGTAATAATTTACTAAAATCAAACTTCTTGAAATTGGTGAAATTCTTGAATTTATACTAATAACAGTTCATGGAACAGCTCACCAGTCATCATAAAGACGTGAACATCCTTTTAGTCTTAACCTTAAAAGCATTGCCAATGGATGTAGATTTAGTGTATTTCGCTTGTACAATATGCACGACCAAAGGTAAGATTGAATTTCAGTCAAGGGTGCACAGGCTGTTGTGCTCAGTCTTAGACTCCGAGGAAATAAAAAACCCATGATAGATTATGGTTTTCATATCTGTCAGGAATCATTTTACAGTAAGCAAGAGCTTATGCATGGGCATCACCGCGCCACGTTCGCCCTGGTTGCCAGTAAGGCCTACCAAAGCAAGAATTAATACCATGTAACAACACCGCACGTTCAAGGGCATGGCCAATATATTAAGTCTTAACAGACAGACGGACCAGTTTTTCAGAAACAAATTCAGAAATGTGTCTTCTCATATATTTTCATAATTTTTTACCAAAATATAGAATGTTCTTTAATCAATGAATTTATGTACTTATTTTCTTAAATCTCCTTCCCATTCCCAAATGTTAGAACATTAACAAATGACAGAAACATGACAGCAGGACAATGCCAATTGGTACAATGATGACAGGACATGGACAGAAGGAGAAAAAATATTTAAAAAAAAAAAAAATCTACCAACAATTCTTTTGTTCATGTTTCAAAGAGGCAATACCGTTGTAACACAATTCAAGTTTTTCTACAAATATTTGGCCTTGCATTTTAATAATAAACATTAATTTCCTTGTGAATTTTATGCTGAATATATATTGCATATTTTAAAGATTTATTGTTCATATTATATGGCATATTTTCTGCATTGAAATCTGGGTTCTGACGATGACAAATATAATTATTATAATGGTAAAACCCACCAATTCATACATTTTCATAATGAATAAATAGACAACTATTTGACAGAAGAGAAATTATTAAAAATTAAATGTGAAAGTCACTTTTCACATGAATATAAAATAAAAATACAATTTTCAATCCTATAAATTTGGCAAACTGACATATTATTCCATAATTACGATTATTAAAAAAGCAGTGATGCAAGGCACACACAAATATAATTACAAACTTTCGTATACTCTTTCACATCCCCTCTTTTAGATGGATATATTTTTAGTTCTTAAGCCACTCATTGCAACCAAAGTTATGACACTCATTCCACACATCAATTAAAAACAAAACAATTTTTTAAAATCTTAAAATCTACTTAACATTAAGAAATCAAGTTAAAGATCAAGTATCACATAATTGTTCAAAAAACCTTCATATCACACCCTAAAATTATTCCATTACCAAAGAACATTTTCTCATATTTTTTTTTCTCATTGAATAAACTCATTTGTGTTTCTCATAAAAATATTTTGTAAATTATTTTTATTCAAAATGCAATGAAATTGAGTAATATTAGAATTTAGCATGCTGTGGCATTATAAATTGCGTTACAAATGTCTTCCAAACACCAAAATAAAAAACTAAGTAACACAGTTGGTGATGCTAGTAATAGAAATGTCATTAGAATGTGATTAAAATAAAATACTCTACACACTTTTAAGACACCTCAGCATTTGATAGAAACCACAAATCGCTCAAAAGATGTGAAGTCTATTGTTGGAACTCTAAAGTTATTTGATCTCAGTAATGCCCATTGCATACTTACTTTAATCTGATTCTCTCATAAGCATATGGATTTTTCCCTATGGAAAAAAGAACTATAACAATGTAACAGTTCCAATAAAACTTTTTACATTGATTTCAAATACGGAACTGTTTTTTCTCCAAAACAAATAAATTTCTGTCAGCTATCGAACTTTGATACACATTTGATACATATTGCACTTCAAAATATCTCTAGAACATTAACTAGTAATAAGCAAATGACCTTGTATTCAGTTGTCTAAGGTAGCAATTACCTATGGCAAATGGGTCTTGGTGAAAAAAGTTTTCATGCACATTATTGGCCAAGATTTTTTAGGAAAACACAGACACATATTACATCCTGAATCTTTCTGACACATATTTCATCCTGGGTCTTACAAGAATTCACAGATCTCATACTATCTTGCGGTTGTAAAATATCTGAGATAATGTGCACCCATGCTCTTCAAACTTAATTGATCTTCCAAATCACCATCTATCTCTAAATTGTTTCACAACAAATTGTGAATAATTTGTTCCCTTTGTTAAGGAAAAAACACAAAGTAATTACATAAATGAGCATTCATTGAAAGCTGCAGGACACAGGGTTTGTTTGAAATTCATGTAACATTTTAATACCTTCTGAATAGCACAAAACTGTTAACAGCATTAAATGCGTTGGAGTTGTGAGAGGCTAGGCTCCAGCATGAAAGCTAGGGGACCACTACCCAGCATGAAAGCTAGGGCTACTCCTACTAGCATGGGTGCTAAGCAACTTCAAAAGCTATGTAAAATTAAATTGAAGAAAGAGAAAGAAATGATATTCCATGAAGAAATTAACACGACTAATTGCTTTCATATTAGTTCTCTGGCGTAATGCAACAGGAGAAAATTTGTTTCAATAGCTTTCATATTTGATTTTGATTCTTGTGATCAATTTCTCCTTTACTGATATTCTGAATTTACTTTTACATCAAGCATAAACACCAACTTTTAATGTTGAAGGCCAAGGTCAGGGAAGTTTCTGTGATTTACTAATCTCAAGGAGGATGACAAATTTGTGTCATTTCATATGTCACTATCTAATCTAACAGTTCATTCACTTCATAAACAGGGCAAATTTAATATACTGATTTCTCTTCAACCTTTGATAGAGATACCAAAATAGAGATAATCTTGTCTTTTATAATTTTAGAAATTAAAACATGGAAGAAATTAAAAATATTTGATCAGCTGCCTGTTTACTTAGTGTTTCCAAGTGCATCAAATTGTATGATTCCATAAGTGTAGTGCATTTTATAATTTAGGATGCGGCAGTGATTCTCCCCTGCTGAAAAACGAGACGTACATGTTAGTTTGGTGGGGGGGGGGGCTCAGCACCAGCCAGGACACGCTCTTAGCTCCTGACTGGTCTCCTAACGTGATGGTGTAGTGCATGAAAGAGGAGGTGTATGTGAGAGAGAAGACAGTGAGAGGGAGAGAGAGAGAGAGAGAGAGGGAGAGAGAGAGGGAGGGAGGGAGAGAGAGGGAGGGAGAGAGAGGGAGGGAGAGAGAGAGGGAGGGAGAGAGAGAGAGAGGGGGAGAGAGAGAGGGAGAGAGAGAGGGAGAGGGAGAGAGAGAAGGAGGGAGGGAGAGGGAGGGAGGGAGGGAGGGAGGAGAAGGGGGACAAGAATGAAAAGGAAAGACTATGCACAGTCTATGGCATGTTGCTTAAGGTTCTGATCCAGCATTTGGCTGTATTCAGAGAAACCTCAGAAAACTACTGATCGCAGCAATCAGTCGCTAGATTTTCCTCCAGCCTGGAATTGAATTTGACACTGCTACATAGCTAATGTCGAAAATCCAGTGCCTTCGGGACTTAATAGAACATCTCAGTCAGTGATGCTACAGACGCAAAGCCATGTTGCCTCTAAGCCACCGCAGCTGTTTAAATGTATTTAATAACAGGTGAGTTGATATTGATCTTTTATGCCCATTGTGATACTCATAGATAAAACCTATTATTGCAAGAAAATTAAGAGATAGAGAACATTTCAATTTCATATTTGAATTTCGCAAGAAAAAGTTTATTAGAAACATTAATCACCTCCTTTGGCCAAAACTTATGCTGACAAATTTTTGGCTATTTTCTACAATGAGCAATTTAACATAAAAAAAATAGACATCAAATTGAACTTTTTCTAGAAATGCCAACACAACAACTGGGCAGGATCAACCTACATTATATTTTGAATGTTACATGCCACCCAAATCACATATTTCCAAGCTATAAGTCAAAATGCATGTTCAAAAATGAATCAGAGGTAGTTTCTATGTGAGTTCAACTTTTTCTGAGAACTCCTCAGAGCTTCTTTTATAAGAATGAAGTTCATTAAATACACTCATAAGCATTGATTCATGCATGTGTACAGACATCCGCACTTACACACACACAGACATGTGGTCATGCACATGTCTAAACAATTATATATATTTACATATTATAAAAACTGTAAGCTACATTATATACTAATTGCATATTTAATGATTGAAGTTATTATTTAGAAAGTAGTGGAAGATATGTTAGTGAGCTGATTGGTACACACCAAGGACACTTTGTAAAATTCATCTAATTTGTCTGACAAAAAAGGAAAACTATATCAAAATGATACAACATGGGTTGATTGAAATATAACCTCATTACTTTCAGCATATTGAAGGGTAACAATCACAGATGAACGATTCCTGAGAAATACCTGAGTTACCCGAGGAATCACAAATATTGCCCAATCTCGACCCTTAAGTTTTAAATAAAATACAAAACAAATCCAAACACTCAAGAAGTATATGGAAAATTGTAAAAGTAAGCAAAGAAGATTGTCTGAATCAAGCACATTAAACACTAGACTTCAAACAATGGTAGACTTGCACAACTTGGAAAACTCCAGTATCACTCACAAATTACTCCTTTTCTCAGACCAGTCTTTAACCACAAAGCCTACTTGATCTGAGACCAAGAGCCTCTGGGGTCGTCCATAAATTATGTAATACTCAAGAGTAGGGGGATTGAGACAGCGTTATGCTCAGTTATATAGGGGCGGGGGCATAGCTTAGAGTTAATAATGCTGATATTAAATTCGAAGTTTTTCAACATTTGCCAAAATAATTCTTTTTATTCAGTTTTACACCAAAACATTAAATTTGTTTTCATAAATGGAATATTGATTGAATCAATTAGTTAGATGTGTTAGGTTACGAAGAAAATAACAAAAACTAATCGAGAGTATATTCTAGAATCTAATTAAATTAGCGCAGTAGACTCAAGGCCTATGTGTTATCCACAACGGTGGGGGCATGGTTTGTTTTCAAAAATTTTCTCATGTATTCGCTATTTCTTCGTTAAAGAATAGTCACCATTCTTATTGTTAAATGTAGTCTGCTTCGTCAACTAATTCTGACTTCAATGATCACACATTTCAAAATAACTCAAATAAAATTAATACAACTCATTGTTACTGCTTTATAATTTATTTTTACTTATTCTACATGGGGATGTTGATCCCAGTGTTACGAAATTAATTAGAGGGAATTCAAGCGTGCATCAGAGGTGCATTACACGGGGGCGGAGAGGGGTCAAATTACTCCATGTTTGCGTCACATAATTTATGGATGAACCCTAGATTAGAAATATTGAAAAAAAATTGAATTTAGAAAAGTAGTTTTTAAGATTATTAGTCGATTCATTTTTAATACAGCAAAAACAATATTTCTTTAAATGTGATGAATATGATCTTATTTTTGTACTGCTAATAGGAGTTGACATTTTAATTGATTGATGTTTTGATTGAAAAGTTTGCTTATTATTTGTGCAAAAAAATCAGAATTTGCAAAGAAATCTACCGTTTTTCCACTTTTAACAAGTTACTAATTACAGAATAAGGTTGTCTTAAAACCAAAATCATTAATGACCAAAAATATATTTAAAATCCAATACTGAAAACTTTGAACTGAATAAAAATTGGCCCCAATCTCAATTGAGAACTCAAAACAGCACTGCCTTTCCTCCAAACATTTGGCACAGATTCTGATAAACTGACTTTTGAAACAGAATAATAAATAATATTTTGCACTAATAATACAAACTGTATACAATATTTAACAGAAGAGATTCTGAAACAAGTTTCTGAAGCACTGCTTTTCACTAAGAATATTTATCATTTACCCGAATATTAGATGAGCATTTTTTCCAGTTTGCATCCATTTTCACGTATTAAGAAAGACAAATGTTTGAATAGTACAATTCAATATTCTGTACATTCTGAAAAGCAGAATCCCCCAAAAGTAATAAATGGTATCAAAGATTTCAATTATTCATATATAATGGCATGAGGAACACAAATCGAGGTCTTTGGCCTTGAAAACTAGGTTTTTAAGAACCTCAGATGCACTGTTTTGGAGTATGATTGGGGTATGATTGATATGTACAAAAAAGATCATTAGATGGTTGTAGGTTGCAAATTGATTTGCTATTGCCTAATTAAGATCCATTATTTCAACAATTACTTATCATTTATAGAGTGAAACTGCAAATCAACACCTCTCCATGAAGTTCTACTTATCTTTTTATCACCTTATTTGACAAGATTGGTTGGTTCTGACAAAAACAGAAGGTATTTATAGTACAAAAATTATTAAGATGATTAAAAAAGAGAGATATTGACTGAAAATTTAATTCATGGAGAGTATCTAAATAGCATTGATACATATTTAATGTATAAATAATACAGATGATTTTTGTATGTGTGTTTAAATTTCATGTTGGGAATTAATTTGAAGTAATAAAAACAAGGGTCATTTTATATGCGAGCCATCTTATATTCGGGTAAATACAGTACAATATAACTAGAAACTTGAATCTTTCAGACATAATTTTTGACATAATTTCAGACATAATTTTTGCTTATTTTCTCACATACAACAAGTAATCATCCCACACAGAAATACAAGTTAGAGTAAGTAGCAGTATTACTCTAAATGTGGACAAGTTGTACACATCTTCTCTACAGACGTTACAGGGAGTTAAGTTACAGCAATAGCAGAATATATTTAAAATCTATTAACAAAACACAATTTAAGTTTACATGTAAAGCCAAATTTCAAACTGAAATAACCACAACAAATAGGATAATTGTTCAATTATTAAATTGCCCAATCCAATCGTGTGAAAATTTCATTTGTTGGCATGCATGGCAGAGCGAATCAATTTAAGTACATTTCACCTTCAAATAAAAAACTCATTAAGAAAACATGTCTACAACAAGAGTACAACGTGTATGGGACAATCTATTTTTGAATTATGGTTATTTTGCGACATTTCAGGCAAATTTCTGAATACACCACTTGTTTCTGTTCAGTAATAGCATCCTTACAATAACATATTCACTCACTTTCTTATATCACCACATTCACTGTGACAGCACAAAGAGATCAAAAGCTCTGATAGCAATAATTATTATATAACTAAGTAATCCCTTCTGCAATTGCTATTCAAAAAATGACATTACAAAATCATTGCATTATATCTGATCAAAAAGTTATGTGTCAATTAATTTTTATTGTTTGGACATTCACAGAATTAAGAATCAAATTTGGTGATAATCAGTATGGATGCACTGATGCTACCCTCGCAGAACAATCGGAATACGTATGTAAATGGTAAACATGCTAATAAATAACGAGAATATCAAATAATCCCTTAATAGCACACAGCTGGCTTCAATAGTTGGATTTCTAGTGAAAGACACATTAAGAAGTATTTTGAAAACCAGAACTCTGCATGCTCCTACAATGATGTTCAGAAAATGTTATTTTAACACATGCAGCTTTGATTAGCTAGATTAATTCTGCAAATTGAAGTCCTCTTATGAGACTATAAACATTAATTATCAGCTCTGTAATATCTGAAGACTTAGTGCACAAGAAAGTATCACACAAATTATTAGGAAAAATAGACATTACCATTCAATTACCTTCTTTTATACATTGTAAAGCAGCTTTGTTTTGACTTTTTCAAATATTTTATAAAACTATGAAAAGAAAGAGTGTAGTGGTGCCAACACAGATTTTACCCCACTATCAATTTTAAATTTTGTTATTCCCATTAGAACTTTGAGGGGACAAAACAAAGACAGATTTCCCCAAACTACTCTCATTTTCTCTAACACTGCAACTGCACTCTTTCCTTATCATTCAATTCTAGAATCATACCAACATCTAACTTGACAGTTTGCAGAGACCATTTGTCTTAACTCATATCACACAGACATGCAGATAAACAACACGTAGCACAACCCACAAGACAAAGACATACTACCAATATGTCCCTCTATAGAATTTGACATTTTGCTAAATTTCTAATGCCCAGTTAATGTTTCAAGAGACAAATTCTTAAATATAACTCAATTAGAATTTTCGTGTTTGACACAGTGAATTATTTCACTTTCTGTACAGGAACAAGGCAAAAACAATCTGAACAAGAAAAAAAATTAAGAAAGCTTAAAACTGTACAAGTCAAAAACTACACTGGTCATTAAAAAAGTGCATTCATACTGAATGAAAAAATACTTCCAAAACCTAATTCACAAATCTCAAATGAATTAATATATTCAAAATACCTTTTGATCAGATTTAATATACTGCCATTTTAAAATTCTATGAATATATTTAATAGTGTATGGAAATAAAGGTGCTACTTATTAAACAATTAATATCTATAAAAGATTAAAAAACTAGCTACAATAAAAACAAAAATTAAAAAAACATGAAGAGGTTTGGTTTTCACGACGTATATAAACACATTTTTATATAAGAGATATTACTTCAATATCATAAGTGGTGTTACCTCAATGATTGTTCTGTTGCTTTACTCCAATCCAAAATTGTGTAAATTGTATATAAAAAATTGTACATAATTCAACTATAGAACCAACAATACCCCAATATACCTACTCTACCTAACCCTCTCCCATGAGCAAATATGCAGAACTCAATCACTAATTGTCTAAATCTAAGTGCTAAATAACAACGCCAAACTTTGTTTGAGCTTGAAGGCCTTGCGATACCTGCAATGGTGTAGTAGAATATATATTTACTGGAAGATTCCATATCATTGTCTCTATATCAAGAGAAGAAGGGCCTTGTAACACTTTGCCATAGGCATTGCTTGATGAATTGTGATGAGTTAAAGGAGTAAGAGTAGTGACAAATTCAAAGTGCAGCCTCCATTTTAATGTCACTGTAAAAATTGTGGAACATGAAATGCAAATATTACCCATAAATATGAAACATATATTCTAGTCAGAGATGACAACTGACCCACTTACCAAGTTTTGTAGCAAAAGCAGGTGTTATATGAAGAGGTATGGGAAGAATTAACTGTGAACGTTTCATATTCAAACATACTTCATGATATTTACTATAAGATACAATAGCCGGCCCTAGTTTTGCCCATCGCTTGCAACCAGGATTTATTTCTTCTTCACTCTGCAGCACAACTGAAAACTAACAATCTCCTTTGAAATTAAACAATAATGATTAAATCTGAGACTAAAATATAAAAACTCTTCTCGCACAGAAAACAAATCTTGTCTATAAATAAAACTATTAAAACAACAGGGTAAGAGTTTAATCTTGGGAGTGCATTATTACAACAATTATTACTTGTAACTTATAGGCAAATTCATAGTTCTATGTTTATGTTCACAAGTTTGAATTTTCTTTTTCTGGCTCAAAGGCACTGACAGTTTTGCCTCTGCCTATCTCTGATGCTAGATGGAGGTTTTTTCTCAATCTGTGGGGATGGGCCATTTGAGGATGGGTAATTGGCCCTTTACTTGGCCCTTAGGATTGGGAATGGGAATATGAGTAACATATGGAAGGAAGGATCATGCCTGGTCCATGACCTGCATTCCAAAGTGCTGTTCTAGCTTTTGCCTAGAAGCAATCAGGGCACGGGCACGCGCACCGGCATGAGCACAGGCCCATGCCCGTGCTTAGGTTTAGACATACACACAAAGGCAGTTGGTCCCTATCTAATTTTTAGAATTTAATTGAATTTTAATAATCATGTAAAATGTTTAAAAATGTATTAATAAAAGTTTAATCATGTTTTCAAATTTTCGGATTACTATAGAAGAATTACAAAAAAGTTTGATGTGTGAAAATGGAAATATGTAATGAAGAATAATTCAAAAGAGATTCTCTTTCTATTCTACAAAACAATCTTCCAATATTTATTGAAAATGGTACATCAGAACGTCAGTTGTGAGAGAAAGAACACAGCTCCCTTCCGAAAGTAGCTTGATGGGACAATGTTTCAACCCCTGGGAGTTGACAGCCTGCTCAAGCGATATACTACTATTTTAATTTCATATTCACCATTATAAAAATCATAGATTCACATACTTTCATTGATGAAAACTGCACCCAGATAGTAATTCCCTTAGAAAGTTGTAGATACACACGGAAAAAGCTTAATCAAAATTTTTCAACAGTTATGATTGGAAACTTCACTTATGCTTGAGAATTACATTTAGGACGACTGCCTCCTTCTGATGAGAATCAGGAAAGATTACTTGATTTTGAGCTAATTTCATTTCAACTAAAATCGACAAGAATCTGAAAAGATATCTGGAAAGAAATGAATCTTGAAGAAAAAGTTTTGTAGACAACTGACTCTTGTTTGGATTGCCTTACTACAAATAAAGCCATTCTGGAATAGATTTGGTCAATCGAATTGTATAAGTATTTTATCCTCTGAAATATACCTTGAAGTTCCAGAACAAATCAAGTATGGTAGTTTAGGTCAATTTCTTGACAACCAAACATGACAGATCATTTATGCTTCAAGTCAGCCTCCATAATTCACATCCGATAGAATTATCAAATCACTACTAAATCATGGTGTAAAACATGGGTGACATGGGACACCCCTTCTTTTAAATTTATATTTTGACTACTGGATTAGGCATCAGGAAAGCTGATTCAAAACAAATTTTATTTCAGACTCAGAATAAAGTCTACAAAGTCTTTTTAATATTGCCAGAGAAAACAATTTTAAAATATCCACCTCTAAAGCAAAGTGATGGGAATTTGGATTCTTTCCTCTTTGAGCTAAGATTGAAATTACAGAGAAACAAATATAACTGAACAGGTTTCAAATTTTAATTACCTGGGATACAACATATCATATGATCATTTTAACTACCAGGAACAAAACTTCTATAAACTCCTTCAGTTTCTTGGTACAACAAAGCAAACTCCACTGAGAAAACTTAAAAAAGAGACCACTACCAAATTCTGTAGAACTACAGGGTTCTAGTTCTCTTGTACGGTGCCGAAGCACGGGTAATAAGAGCACATCAGAGAAAGAAGATTGAAGCAGTGTAAATGAGATAGCTAAGACCACTTGTGAGCAACACTTTTAGGGACTATAAGAAAAAAGAAAATATTAGATCAGAACTTCTAGTTAGAAATAACGACCAAATGATGGATTCATGTATCCATCCAATATAGCAGTGGAATGGCCAAATATAGCAGTGGAAAGACAGAACAGTCCTAATCCAAGTTGTATATGATGATAATAGAACTATTCCGATTAATATGTGCTAAATAATTCAGGAGAAGTGGTGGTCATACAGACATACATTTTGCCAAGCCATATGAATATATTTACTATGAATATATTCACTTTAACCAATATCAAGTATTTCCTGTTAAAGGCAGGTTTCCACAATGTTTCCTTTTTTCTCCTCTGCCAATCTTTTAATCTTGTAACAATAAAATAACATATTTTAATATTAAATCCATCTGCCATCTGAATATTCGTCCATCTTCTAGTACAATTTTCCACAACAACCCTTTTGAGTTTTTCTACTATAAAATTTCCTTTCTTCTGTTGCAATCTGTCCTAACCAGTCTCTCTTTGTTTCTAAAATTATTAATTATATTGTTTTCAACACACACTTCTCCACATTTCTTCATTTGTCAGTTCATCTGTCCAAGAAATCTTTTCTGTCTTTATTCATGACCACATTTTTTAAGCTTCCAAACTCATTTCCAGATCTTTACTTCACATTATTATTCCTCATACTAATAATACCATTAACAATTTGTCATTGTGAATTAAATTAACGTTCTTGCTATTATTCTCACATAAGTGTGATAAGAATTCCAAGCCAGAGCAAGGACAAAAACTTCATTTAAAAAAAGAAAAAATACTATCATTAACGATTCAAAATTAGAAATTATAATAAGAAAGAATGTAAACAATGTAAAAATAGATAAAATAACGTTGACTTGGGAAGCCAATGCCCTTAAGGCGAGAGCACTATAACTTCCTCAACTTCAAAAATTGTGGGTCTGAATCCCACCTCAGACATTCATGTTTGCTTGTACATCCTTTTACCTCTAAAAGGGTGAAAGTACCAAGATGGTATCAAGAAAAGTAGGTGGAGTTAATGGATTAAGTGGATTGTATGGTGGCCCCGATATTAGTCACAAATACCTTGAGAGGTGAAGCGACCTTAAACAAACGCATACATAAAGTAAGTCAACTTTTCAAACAGTTTCTGAATCTGCCAGATCACAAAAACATGATGATCCTCTAATCCTCACTTCTGAACTGTACTTCTCTTGATGCATTCAGAATTTTGTTGTTCAACACGAGTTTAACACTAAAACATCCAGGATGCTGTTTCTACCGATCCAAGTGTGTAGGCACCATTGTATTTGCAGCTATTGTTGTGATAATAACTCATACTTTGTTGCTTCACTGATTTCTGTACTTTCTTTTTATTTGTATATAAACACACATCTACAGGCAGCACTAACGTTGTTTACACACAAACCTGTGCTTATCATAATTACAATACACAATAACAAATTGAATTTAAAACAATGAATATATAAAATTTTAAGCATACATAATTCTAAGACTATGTACAAATATGATAGATATTATCTCAAGATGGAGTACAAAAGATTACATGAAATTTTGAAGTTGCTTGTTATCTCAGAGGACACCATATAGTAATTCTATACGTATATACATACACACACACACACACACACACACACACACACACACACATGGTTCCTAAAGTCTCATATCACATTCTTGTAAGTCTGAATTTGTTGAATGTTGTAACAAAATTGAACTTGGAATGTGGTAAAAAAAATCCTTACGCCTAATGAAACATCTTAAAGTGATGAAGAAGTGTAAAAGGTTGTGATTCTGAGGGCAAAAACTAATATTATATTGAAAGATGGAATGCTGCTCGAGTCGAAACGACATACATGGGTGTTCTTGCTAAACTCAATTCATTTTAACAAACCCAAACTGATCCTGCACAAGTTCTTTTTGATATGAACACACTTTTGAAAAAATTTCAAATATATTTTACTCCTAGTCATTAGTCAATACAAGAAAACTGAACAATTCAAAAGGGTAATTTAATAAACATACCTGAACACAAGGAATAGTAGCATCAGAGAAATCAAACGTGCCCACAATATCTTCACCTAATTTATATGCTTGTTTAAAGAGGCAAAACCTCACAACTTTGCCACGGGTATTTGTAATATTATAGAAGTTTGGTGTTCTTCTGGCAGTGATATTCTGAAAAACAAAAAAAAGTTAGTTTTGTTGTTTACATCAATAGTTATGTCACCCAATGACAAACTCCACAAAAATATACAAAGGATTTCAGGGTATAGAAAAAAAAAGGATTAAAATTTATTTAATATCACAATTATTTTATTCAATTTAACCTTTATAGAAGAGCGTTTATCAGAAAACAAAATTACAACTTACCTGCATAACTTGCAGGGCTACATCCAATGGTGTTTCCCGACGCTGAATTTCCAGAAAGGGGTTAGTAGGAGTGAGGTCTTCACTGTCACCACACATGCCATGCTCCATGAATCCTAAACCAAAAATGTAAAATAATAATTACTAATAGAAGACTAATATTACAGTTCATTAGAAATTTGTAAACAAAAGAATACTTTAAAAGTAGCTGTTGCTATAGTACAATAGTAGTAAATACAATACTAGTAAATGACTGGACTATAAGTTTTGTACAGAAAGACTAAATGGAAAATAATTTAATTAATATTTATGCATATATTCTGGTAAAATATCCATGTAAGTTGCTGGAAAGTAAATAAACAATTCTAGCTATATTTTCCACATGCTTTATGCACTTTTTAAATTTATTAATTTTATTTTTGACTGTATTATAGAACAAATCTCTCCTGCATATGAAATTATTCTAGATCATAAATCTAGATCATTATTCTAGATATAGATTATTAAGGAACAGTGTTAAAATACAGTGAATTAAATACCTACATGAAAACTGACATATTTTTTGACAAAGCAAAACAAAATGTAGATATCACTGAGACAAAACAAAAATTAAACCTACATTAATCGACAAAAACTGGTTTCAACAATATTTGAAATCTTTTTTCATCTAATCTTTTTGCCATTATTCCGTGACCTTCCTATCCTGACAGAACAAATATCGTCAGTACAATTTTCAATGTGTAACATTGTTGATAACAGACCAAAGGCAAGCCACCTACACAAACATGCTTCTGTGAAACAATCTAATTTGGGAACACACACTATGCAACTCAACAAATAAGGATAAGGATTTTATATTTTTAAGGCATAATGAATTGTGCTTTCATTTTTATTACACTCTGTAAGATAAATCCAATTATAGGATAGTCAAAGAAAAATAACAAATTGTAGCATTGAGATAAATATTATATTGTAAAGTCACAAAACAGATCTAAAACTTCGTAGCCAGTTTGAACGATAATGCTAGACTCATACAATGAAATTGATAAACATGAAAGTTAGTGCAAAATTAGGATATTTTTTAATGTTGAAATTAATAATGTAATAGACACAAAGAAACCTAAAGAAGTATCATTCAAGACACCATGAACATCTAATTTTCTAAATAACTTAAATATTGCCAACTCTATTAAAATAGAGTAAAACATGGAATATGATATGAAGACTTACCGTTGACTTCAAGTACACGTAATGGAACACGAAGAAGTTTGATGGGACAATTTATACGTTGCATACCAATGGTAATCTTATAAGAATATTTCACAGCTTGACCTCGGTATGAGGGTGGGGCTTCACAAGGGAGGGTCTCACTATAGACATCTATAAAAATAAAATTCTGAGTGCAGATATTGTCACACAAACCACATCTGATTTACTATCTGATTATCTGATTTAAGAACATGAATTAAAATAAAGCCCACAGTACAAGTTAATACTATTAAAAAGCAAGCAGAATTAAATGTAAGTTAAATACAAATGAGAAATGAACTACAAGCAATTATAACAGATTCTGACATTGATTTATAATAATTGTCATCTACTTCAAACAAGAAAGAACTGCTGATGATAATCAAGCGAGGAATGAATTCTTCACTGGCTTTCCATTCCTTAACACAAAAATATAAAATATGAACAACATTTATTACAAGAAGACAAAGTGGTTGAAGTGATACAGTACCAACTGTATCTGCTTGAAGTACAAAAAGTTCAATGATATTTTACACTAGTCTTTAATACACTTTGACAAATAAGAGGAGAAAATCTAAATATTACAAAGCATAAAAGTTTTGTTAGATAAGGTTTAGGCCTACTCTTTGAATTAGAATGTTCAATGTTCAGATGTTAATTTTCTATCAGATCACAAAAGTTAGAAAACAAAAACCAGTCACCCCAAGTCAAGCCTAATTCGCCCAATTTCAACCCTTCATCACAAGTATATGCTTCAACAAATAGCGGGATTGTTTTGTTTGTTTAGTTTATATTTAAACATTTAATTTTATGTATTGTTTTTGTACTCCATGTTACATAAAATTAGCGTTAAAAATAAACGCACGATTAAAATGAATAAATAATAGATCTACTAGAAATGAAAAAAGAAATAGTTATTCTTGCCTCTCATTTAATGAACTGGCACGCATTGGAAAATTGTATCATGCTGTTTCCAGTCATTGGAAATGTTACAGGTACATCGTATAACTTAAATTGATTCAAATCCCGCCCTTGCACACTGATGCTCCTTTCGGCGCCACGCGTCTCTCACTGCCTTGCGTGCCTACGAACGCAACTGGCGCACCTTTCAAACGAGTTCGTTTTCTCGCGTGCTAAAACGCCGTCGTTGGACGTTACATCACTGCGTTGCGCATTTGTATGCGCTTCTCAAATGAAGCGCGTTATTTGCCCAGCCTTAATGCTCAGAGGAAAAAATTGTAATGTAGGGAAGATTAACATTTAGATATATTACCTAAAACAGATTTCGTGTACGAGTACTCTCTATGCACGTTTCATCGAATTCTCGTTTTGTTAACTATGTCAGGAGTGCTGGGTTGAATTTATTTTATTTTGTTTGTTTTAACGCCAAAAAAGTATTGTGTGTAACGTATAGAGGAGATGTGATTTCGTAGGAAAACGGCCTACTATCTAAGCAAATTTGTAGCTCGGGAGTGAAAATTCCTTATCACATGTTGCCAACAACACTCGTTGCTATCACGTATCCATTATTCAACTATGTATGGAAAAAGAGAGAGGGTAGAGACTCCGGAGTAGAAGTAAATGCGGATATAGTAGATATGCATAAGCAGCCGCCACTGAACTAAACGATACGAAGAGAACAAAACCTTTGCAGTGATATTCACACCCACAATAGAGTTACGGTGCTAGGGTCTGATGCTGGCCGCAGCCGTGGGTGGACAGTCGACTGCAACACGCTTTCCTGTATCGACTTTTGAAAAAAAAAAAAAACTAAACAGGAAAGCGTGTGTCATTTGACTGTCGACCCGTGGCTGCGGTTGGCATCTGGCCCTAGCACCTTAACTCTACTGTGGGTGTGAATATCACTTGCGTATGGGTGTTATCACTATTGAGGCGTAGCAAGGAAAGGTAATCACCACTTTCTTTTTTTAATTTCAGCAAAATCTGCACCGTCATGGCGCTGAGGTCCAGCAATAACACATCAGAATACGGCTGATACTTTTGAACACTGGAGAGGGAGGAAATTGAAGCAGTCTTACATTGTAACAATTATGGTCGTTAATGTGACATTATGGTACACCTTAACGTGTATCGGATATGAAAGGGTGATTGTAACAGATTTTTTTCTTTTAATTTATTTCATTTTACGTGAAAACGATTAAAAATGTGTGTAAAGTGCTACGGGGAGAAGTGTATTCTGTGCACGTTTTCTTAATTCTGGGATCCCTATCCTAAGCCATTTACAATCTGAATTCTGAATACAGTCAGAAATGAGAGTTTTTGGCACGAATTGTTAAGAAAGTATTCGCTACTCTGTAATAAAATATATTTTCAAAGGCAAATCAGCTATAGATTGGGTTCTTGTTCATGTCCGTATAGGAATATACTTCCTGCCGCGAAGAATGATAATTTAAATAACTATATTTCCCACTGAACTCTAGAAGTTAAGTTCAAAGAGAAGTGCACGAGAAAAGTTATATTTATGTCCAGAAGCAAAATAAGGGACATCTCTGCATTTACTCATGGATCAGGGAAACTGACCGAAAAACCTGATCGAGATGGCGGTCATTGACCTAGAAGCTGGAGAACAATGTCTTGATACAGGTTGATTAGAATTATACAGTCCAAATGATAAATAATACATTAAATATAATTGTTAAAATTAATATTACTTTCCGTTTTGATGCTCGGTATAGTCTTAATTCTATAGAAACAATCACTCAGCAGAAAAGATTTTACTTGGGACTTAAACTTCTGTATCGATTTAATCGTTTAACGTCATCTGGCAAAGTGTTGTAAAATAATGTTCATAGATTGTATGTCATGTTACATATATTGTAATGGACAAGCAGGATGGAACTAAAGCCCATAACGACCTATTGAACGAGTATTTCGTGTTTTCGGGAGCGTCGATTATTTTGGGCATTAGTCCCGTGAGTGTAGTGCAAGTTATAGCCGGGAGGTGACGGTTCCCCCTGGACAGTGGGACCGATGCGTCGGCTTCTGCGGTTCTGTTTACTTCGCATGAGCTGCGGATTTTATTTATTTATTTAACATCAAGAACAGTTCAACACTGTGACGTACTAAGAGGAGAAGTGTATTCTGTGCACGTTTTCGTAAATTTTGGGATCCTTACCCTAACTCGTACCGGTGGAAATAAAAACTATTTGCAAAGGCAAATCAGCTATATTTGAAATGTTATCCCACATCGTGCCCCTTCTGAAAGAATTGACTTCCTGCCGATAATTTGAATAACTATATTTCCCACTGAGACATTCCTCCAGGTTTCTCCTCCGGCGGGGGCACCGCCCCAGACCGGGACAAGCTCAAAGCTCCTGACTCCCAACATGTGTGGCAGTGTGTGCGAGTTAGAGTGGAAGTGACAACGATGAGGAAGGAAAGATCGCGCACGCTCGTGGCTCTTTTGTTGAGCCATTCACCTGGTTTTGATCGGAAAGAAAGGAGGCAAAGGTGTTGCAGCTGAGCCACCGCAGTCCATGTCAGGGCATTGCCGGAAAGAGCGTTGATATTAAATGGTGGAAGGAGTTACTCCTCCATGGAAAAAGCTTTATTGTAGCAGATACGGCTCGTTGCATTATTCTTTTCACATAATCACTCCAGAATCAAGACATTTCTCATACCGTGTCATCTTTTATATCCCTGTATCGCCTGGGGTAGGTACTAGTATTTGACAGCCACCTGTAACTCAGCGACACTGTGATAAACGTCATGCTGACCGGACAGGAATTTTTTGAGGTGTAATAACAGATTAAAATCGTTGGGCGGGGCGGGGGAGAGATTCTGATTATGGGGTCAAATCCTCTCAGAAGAAGATCTATTGTGAGCCGATCCGAGCCCAGCGTGGCTGACCGTATGATCATCTCAGCCGGTAGATATCCACGTCAGAGGGATACAAATGTTGATTTCACGGTATGACTGAATGACAAATGTCTCAGTTCTGGTTGTGATTACGTGAAAAAATAGTATAGAATGTGCTTTACTGGTCACAAAGTTTTTCCATGAAAGTTTTCTTTTTGTTGACCTAAGGAAACTTTTTTTCTGGATGAGCCTCATACGAACAATATTATTATTATTATTATTATTATTATTATTATTATTATTATTATTATTATTATTACTATTGGGGTATAGGCGATTACTGACCACGCTACACGATTAACGTGTGTAATTCTTCCAGGATCAGCTTTTCAGCTGTATCCTTGATTACGACAAGGTTGTTACGCCTTGAAGTGTGAATTATGAGATGTTAGGTTTATGATAGGTGAAAAGACAATCATGGATTAGGAGGTGATAGGATATTGGTGAAAGGTGAACGTGGACTTTTTGAATCATCCCAGCATTCGCCTTATGACAGCATGGCCGGCTTATGCCCGGCCCGGGAATCGAACCCGGACCTCCCGATTACGAAGTCAGCGCGCTTCGCACTGAGCCACTTCGCTAGGTTGTTGTTATTATTATTATTATTATTATTATTATTATTATTATTATTATTATTATTATTATTATTATTATTATTATTATAATCATCATTCACTGACCCTGAAATGAAGAAAGCGGGTTAGAAAATAAGAGGATAGTACATGTTGACAAAGGTGAGTAGAGGACATCAGAAGGAAGTTAACCATGAAGGAATCGGCGGCTTACCAGCACCGTCCACGACGCTCCCATCTCAGCTCAAGGAGACGGAATCTTCCAACACTGAATTACGAGCCATCAAGGCGCTCGCCTCAGTCATACTGCGGTGGCGAGCAAAGTCTTCCCTGGAGGTGCAAGTAAGTGACAATTCTTCCGTGTAGGCATCGTCTTTGGGAAGCAGGATGTTCCTGAAGGAAAGGATTGGGCGTCGGCATTTGTTGAATGGTTAAATGGATGATTTTAAGAGTAGAATGATTGATAATCCACTGATCTACATTACAATATCTAGAGAGCCCTAGAGAGAAGGAAAACAGAAGCCCGTATCACAAAGCGGCCATGATATTATATTAAGATTTAAATCTTAACTAACGCGGCATCAACCAAACTTTAGAGTTGGTTTATGTACAGAAAAGCGACTACAATTTGCTTTAATAATAGAAGATTTGCAATTGTTATATAAGAAATTAAAAAATATATAATACATTTTTATATAATTGGAATATTACTATATTGCTTATCACTGACAAAAAGTAAAACATTTTATGATAAATTAATAACGTAAAATACGAAGGTGTGAAATGTTATAACAAAGTACTAAAGGCATCTAAAATTAATTTGCAAAACACTAGTTTAGATGTAGACTTACGTGTCGCAGACGTCTAGGTATCAAATTGTGCTTCACTTTTGAAGACCTATATATTATCCAGATATAACAATAAAGACCAATGAGTATCACACTACCCAGGTCTTCCAAACCGCTGGATAGTAACTTCTTGAGATATATAAGATTTGCTATATTGAACTGAACAAATGGTGCTAAATCATGACATACGTTCTCTCTTTATTTGTAACTTTTGCAATTTTTCGAAGATACAGATTGTTCAACGAAAATAACACCTGTTACATTTTTAAGCGGCCTTGCTGTGTCCGCGGAAAAAAGCAGTTAAAAATTGGAGCGGTTTTTGATACTTTTTGTACATAGCATTGACATCAAGAAAAAATCTGCTCTTTAAAAATAAAGCAAATTACCTTATTTAAAGATTTAATTTTCTAGAACAAAAATCAACGAAGAAAAAATCTATACCAACAATATTGAACTAACTTTTCCAATATTGGTTTTATGCAATTTTAGAAAATATAGAGTTCACCGAACCTGGGACCTGGGCAAATATGCTTCTCACCTTTTAGTCTATTCGAAGGAGAGGGGGGAAAAGCAGCCGAGAATAAGTCTTTAAAAATTGCCTATGTCTCACACAAAATGCCTCGAAACAACTCATATCTTCGAAAAACTGTCCATAACGTTATTTAAAAAAGATTTAGAAAATCAGATTTCACTACGGAAAATTATCTTCAATATTGAAATTGTATGAAGACATCGAACATTTTTTGAACTTTTGCTATTTTCGAAAATCATTGACTTAAACGAAAATGGAACGTCACTATTGGTAAGCGAACATTGCTCTAGTCGTCGAACGGTTTAAGTGGAGGTGTTGACCACAGACAGGACGGACAGACGTTTTGCCATCAACCAATTTTTCGGTATCAAGGTCCCACAAAACGTGGATTCTGACTACACATGTTAGAGAAAGTAATGTACCAGATATAGGAACAAGATTAATCCCTTTTTGATATCATGGTCCCATAATACGAATTTTTAATAACAAATCGCCGCTTCCCTCTGCATCATTGCAAAACTTTACTACACAATAACGTTGTATGAGGAAGTAAAACAAAATTGCTACAACAGTACATACTACTTTATCACATTTCTACCTTTTGCCATGTTCGAAAATTGAAAGAGTTCTTCGAAAACGAAACCTGTGCAATTCCTTAAGCGTCCTTTGGTCCACCAGTGGAAACGAAAAGAAAGAAAACATTTAGTGCCTTCCTTGGAAGGAAACATTAACTTCAAGCAGCAATTACGCGAAAACTACTCTTTTCTTTCCTTCCTTCAAAGAAATTGTATATGACCGCATTTTAAGATTTTTTTAGAACAGATTTTGAAGAAGAAAGAAATAATTGTTTAGAACTTCCGTATATTTCACGCAAAATTACGCGAAAACTACTCATTTTCGAAAAATTGTACATGACTATTTCAAGATCTACCTTTGAAGAACAGATATCATTACAGAAAAAGTTATATCTTCAATATTATAGTTGTATAAACACCGAAAAAAAATTGAAAAAAAAACAACTGAAATTGCAATTTTCGAAAATACAAAGGTTTCCCAGAATACGAGACTTGCGCCAATTTTTAAACGTTGTCCACTTTATCCAAGGCCAAAGTTTAATACAAATTTGGAGGCCTTTTTGAGAAAATGTTCAGGCTCGATGTTCAGTACCCCCAAAAATCAAAATACCTGTTTCAAACTCGCATGCTCTCGTTCAATAGATTGGATAATAATTTCAGAGAAAATTATCTGAACGATTTGGGGGCTTCCGTTGGCCTAAAATGGACACGGATTTTGCCCTCAATGTTTCGGTATCAAAGACACTATACGGGCCGACTTCACAATATTTTAAAGTAAAATACTACATATAGGAACAAGGTAGGAGAACACGAAACCCACTTTTTTATATCAAGGCCCCATAATACAAGTTTTTCTAACGAAAAATTGTCCATTCTGCTGAAGGATTGCAATACTACACTCTCGCTTTACTACGTAATTACGTCGTATGACGAGAAATTAAAACTACCTTTTAGCTCATATGCGAAATAACTACGATGAAAGCTCACGAACTTCTGGGAAACGAACATATCTCAACACCATGCAGCAAATTGAATGTGGAGAAAGAGAATTGTAGGCACACGCCATAAAATCTGAAAGAGTTTACTTAATACCAAAGTTTAAATAAACTAGAGTAGAAATCAAGAAGCATACAGTGATATAGATACCTTTGATACTAACGGAGGATCATCCATCAGAAACGAAATCACGACATAATTGGACAGAATAACAATAATCAATATACATTTCACAATTTAAGTAACATTTTTTTAAATGCTTAGGATTCTTGAAGTAATTACTTTTCGATTTGTGTACAGTAAGAAATCAGTGATGCAAGTGTTGAATATTATTCAGTTTGTTACGGGAGTTGATTAACAGTTCGCTCAGGCGGTATGATAGAACAGAAATCACCATCAGCGATGACATTAACTGCAATAAGCGTAGAATATATTCAAAGTACAATGTACCAGACGCCTTCTTATTCTTTTCATGAGTTACGACACAGCCACCACATTGCGCTATTGTACCTTTGTGTGCATTGTATATTTGTAGTATTGTGTGTCGGGGAAGTGACGACGGCCCTCGAGGTCGGGCACAGACGCATCCCCGCCAGTATGTGGTTTGTCCCTCCACGAGCAGTTCTTAGTAGAACCATCCTCGCAGATATTCCAATGCAAGCGCCACGACAGGTTTTCGAACACGTGCATAGCTTTGCGTGTGTGCAAATGTAGTGCTTAAGGTAAGGGCGCAAAGATGAGGAGAAGGCAGAAGAAAGGCCGCGTGTTGTCCGTGGCCCATTCTCTAAGACACTGCTCCGGCATCATTTTGGAAAGGAACGCGAGAGACCAGGTCAAAAAGTCACACACCAAATCTGGCAACCAGTCACACAGCTAAAACTGGGACTTAATCCTTAGTGGGTACTAAAGCCCCTCCCTGTTTCGGCTTGGCCTAGCAAACAAGGTATGAAACCCAATTGCAAAATGTAGAGTGCTTTAAAGAAACCAAAGCTAGGGTGTGACACAAACAAAACATTTTGAATAGAAAATAAAATCGTATTGGGACAATAAATAACTGAGCACTAGATGCTAAAAAGTCGCTAAAAGACTTGTGGGGAATATTATTTCCACACTCATGTTTATTCTGAGTATGGAGTTCATCATAGCTTAGAATTTTGTTTTAAATTTGAAAAGTTAATCGATCTTCGTAATAAATAATTTATTGCATATTTATTTATTATTTATAAATAATTCCCCCTCAGAAAAATAGTATTTTAAATAGCTTTCCCGCCGTTTACATTTGTAACTGCCCCCAATGGATATCTCTCGGAAACATAGAACTCCTGTTTGATTCAAGTCATACTGTATGTCGTCGGTGAAGAACTCTGACACATACCTGTGCTATTTTATTGTGTTCGTTTGGATAACACTTAATTTAGCAGAAGAAATAATATTTAATGAATACTAAAGTTTATTTCTTCTTTTATACACATTTAATTAAAGTTGTTCATTACACATACACTTTTTATTATTCATGACATTTTTTGCCATTTAATGCATCAGAAAATAACGTCACGACTAGCCAGTGATTTCTGACATTAAAAAAACGGGTTTTATTAGGTAAAAAGATAGCTTTATTCAAAATTAAATTGAATAGCACAAAAATTTTGCAACAATTGTGGAAACTTCATATTGTGGGAGAAAAGCTTCAAAGGTAATTTAGCACGCTTGTAAGTCAAATTTGTATTACTTTTTCGGCAAAAACAGTAAAAACTGTGACGCATAGGGATAAGTGTAATCCGCGCACATTTTCCCCACCCTTATACTACAAATACTTAAATGATGAATAACCATTTAAAAAAGCGAAGTTAGCAACACTTTAAAACTAGAAAGTTTCGCTCTCGAGAGGACGTATTTGCAACGGTAAACTAACTGCCGATTTGATTTTATAGTATTAGTAAAATGTATGGATCAAGGGTAAACTACGAAAAACCTGATCGACATGGAAGTCATTAACCCAGAATCCGAATTGTACAAATTAGTATAAATGTTAACTAATTTCTTAAATATCACCAAGTATATAATGATTTGTTGGATTCATCTCCGCCCTGAATACCAGAATAACTATTAAAATATTAAGAAAATACACTAGATGGCGGTGTAGAACAAAAACTAAATATTTATGTCAAATGCAACCTGCAACGTACTCGGTAGGATTTTTTAATCTATATCGTTAAATAACTTCTAAACAGAGCGTTCTAGGGCAATAAAAACTATGATTTTATGATTGACAATAATACAAATTTGG